CGGACGAACGAAGAAAAGAGTGTAAACGGTAAAGAGAGGAGAGCGTGATCGAGTGAGCCACTCTGTCATCGGCTTCCATCTCTTTGGGCGCAGCTTGAACGATGGCCGATTCACGCGGCTTCAAGCCAATAAACCAGTTGTGGCAGAGCGCGACAGTGCCGACGGATCAGGATTCGGAGTGTCTCTACGAGGAGATCCCGGGCCGGTCCCGGGATACGGCCCGGCCGGCGGGTGCCGCCGTTGGGCAGCAGGGGGTGGAGGAAGAACAGCTGGAGGAGGAGGAGAATATCGGCGGCAGCAGGAGGAGCCTCGATTTCGGGGTACAGGTTGGAGATAGCGACTTCTGGACTGATTCGGGCCGGGAGGAGATCATCGCCAGGAGCGGTACCATCCCCCGTAGCAGGACCGACGGCGGCGCGAGGTCGCGCAGTGGATCGGCCGATCGGCGACCAACGGATCGGCCGCGTCAGCGGGACGTTGTCGTCGTCAGGGTGGAGGAGGAGGCGCGCTATGCCGCGCGCAGGAGCCACGTGGAGCCCGGTACAGGCGCCATACTGCCGCCTCCTGCGGCTGCCGGCCACAAGCTGACCAGGGGGCGAACCAGCGCTACCAACACCGTCGCCCGGTACTTGCATTCAGCCAGCACGAACGCCTCGGCGGCGCATTACCATCACCATCATCACGGGCTGCACGGCCAGTATCCCCCCGGCGCGGGCGGCAGGACGACCGGCAGGCAGCACCGCCATCATCACCCTAGCCGCGGCTCGTACAGTAATGAGACGCAGGAAGAGGTACAGGAGGACGATGAAGCCACTCTACGGGAGTTGCTCGTAAGGTACGTTCCACGTACACGCGTACCAGCGTATCCCACCCCACCACGCGGTAGACGACGATCGAGTATCCTCACCCTCTCTCGAGGCCCTCAATCCCTCCAGTTGTCGGTGTACACCACTCTGAATCATCAGTTATCGCGTTATCGAGACAACTTCCGTACCACACTACTCCAGCAGGAAGAAGAATCGTTGTTCTAAGTTTTGTTGATCTCTCGATAAGATACGAGCCATTGAACGGAACGATAATTACGCTTATATTCTCTTCTCTCTTTTTGTGAGAAGCGAGATAATTTATAAATTTATAACACAATTCAGTTGTGTTATTACACTGCTTTCCTATTACAATTATAAAGAGAAAGTTTAACGTTTTATATTATCAAAGAATAATTATTTGTAAAATGACTTATTATCGCTGATTTATGTAATTATTCTGGGCTCATGTTATTGTTATTAAGAGACCAACGAGGCTTTTGTAACAACTCGATGTTAAAACACGAATTACGTTATCCAAGGACAATTGGCGTCGCCACCGATGTCTCTAAGAATTATCTGGATTGTTGGACGTTGGGCAGCGCCGACAGAAGTTTGCGAAGGACCTGTGCCATCGCAAACTTCGTCAACTTCTGTCAGCGACCGCAACGTTGCAAACTATTCGCGACTCTTGCAAAAATATCCCTTTATGATTATGAAAAATCATATTCAAGTGGTTTAAAGCTTCATCAGTATTCGCATTGTTCGTGCCAGTTGAGACGTTAAGCTTCTACGACCGGACGTGGGTTTCTGCGATCCAGAAATAATACACAATATTAGGGGAATTGAACTTTCGGTGTTTGCACGTAATCTCTTTTTTTCGGAAATGGCGGTCGTGGAGGATTAACGCCGCGAATGTTGCGAGCGAATGTTCAAGAATTTCTATTTAAAATATTGTTCTAACATAGTCTAGCCTTTAGAATTCTGTATTGACTTTCACATTAGTAGTGACCTCTTTTTAGGGTCTTGTATAGAAATCATACTTTACTCTTTTCATGACGAGTGAAGCGTAGAAAGTTTTCTTTTTCTAGTCTCTATACCTATCGCCTAAATCTCACGTGGCATGATAGAGTCACCATTATTCGAACGTTCAGCTCCCAGGTGATTTATTCTCGATCTGCTCTATTTTTAATATTGTTCTCTTAATCGCAGTTACAGCCGCATATTTTTAAATCTCCATCGGATAATTGCATTTCTTGTCCAATAAAATTATGAAGAAGAGCTGCGTTATAATAACACAAGTTTACAAATTTTGAATAATTTTTAGTGCAAAAGAAGGAAACAATCTTTTTAAACATATTTTTGGGGCGCTGAGATCGAATCTATCGCCAAAAAAATTCCAGATTGAATTTTTTAAGATATAGCATGTAAATACTAAGATATAGCATGTCATTTTTAAGATACAGCATGTCAATTTTTAAGAGGTAACATTTCTTTCCGAGTAATTTGGATACAAGTGATAAGCAAGGGAACTGGTTTCCATCAGGATTTGATGATAATGGAGAAACGTGATGATATTGGAACGAAAACACACTTTGCGATTACTGCTGGACTCCAATTATAAGGGCCACGACACACACAGAAAAACTTAAGCAGTATATGTAAGGAAATTAACGTGTTGAATTTGTCACTGTTTACGTTATGGTCTTATGGCCTTTACTGTAATTGATCAGTTTGCTTATTATTTACATTTATTGCTTAATTTTTTTGTGTTCTATGACTTTAATATGTGAAACCAATTTGGAGTCATATGAAAAACAAAATACCCGCTTAACATTTTTGATTTGTTTTCTAATTTCAATAAAACTTCACACTGTACATACATTGGGAAAAATATCTCTTCTTATATTTCAAAAACTGGACCAAAAACTGGAAGTATTTCGATTTGGGCTCAGCGTCAAAAATTACCTTAGAAACGGTCTTCAATCTCTCTTACATAAAATTTTGTAAATTAGTGTAATCAGAAAAAAACGTTATAGCAATTGTGTGCAATTTAGAGAAAGAAAGTAAATTAATTGTATTGTTTCCTTTACTTAATATTTCAGATTCCTCTCTTGTTATCGTGCAGAATTCGGTTATTTGAACACGCTGGTCCGTTGGTTCGCATAATGGGAGCTCCATCGTGCTAATGTTAACAGTCACGAGAGACATGGCCCTTTGAATCTCTCACGAGTAACTTAGTCTAGTACCTCCGGTAGAGCGGCGTGTATATGAGCTCTCGAGACTTGCATACCAATCAAGGGGACACTCCTCGCTCTCTTTTATCCGCTGTGTTAAAGTGCGCCCCCCGCCACCTCCGAATCGATAATACTTACTTTATCGATCTCATATAAGCTTTGCTGCTGACGAAAACGACTTTACGACCTTATCATTTCATAAACAACGTTCTCTCGAGAACCTAACTGTGTTGCAAATGCATCCAGGTAATTCCGGCCTAAGTGGCGGTGCCTTACCTTACGACAAACACGTGACCGGCAAAAAAAAAGAGAAAGACAAGAGGAGGTAAAAAAAAAGGAAAAAGAAGAAAGAAACGGACGTCTTCCCCGCTTATTATTTTATATAGACTCTCTATGTATCCGAGAATGCAATGCAAGGCTTTGTGCCATGCCATTCATCATTTATACATAAATCACACTCGCTCTTAAACTTATTCTTGTACATATACTACACACCTCTCGGTCTCATAACAAATCGATGATCAGACACTACCGATATATACCGTTGTTACTTGAATTTTTTGGCTGCGGCGCTCGCAGGCTTACCACTGATTGCTCATTCCATTCGAAAATCATGTCTCCCTCTCGATGTCAGGTGCACAAATAAGCCCGCAATAGCACTCGCTAGAGCTCGAAACGAGGAGTAAAGACCGGAGCACCGGTAATGGCATATCCGGTTTATATACGGCACACATACCGGGACACAGGCAATTAGTTCTCAACGAAGCGATGAAATTCCGTTGTGCCATTGGTAAAAGAATCGCGATTGCAACGAAATTGTCTACGTAATCGTAAAAAGTGTTCTAATTGAGAAGGAAAAAAAAAAGAAATATCCGTTGACATAAATAGACGGATTGCAAAGTTCACTTGGAAAAATCTGCTTTCCTCAAATAAAAAAAAACACACTCACTTTTGTGTTAACGCAAATTTGTTAGTCACGAGCACGATCCTCTTCCAGCCCCTCGAGGGCTGCGCGTGTCGTAGATCCTCGTAAGACTATACACTACTACTTTGTCGCTCGATGTGCCGTCGCTGTGACTTATTTGTGTGCGTGTCTCGTTCTCTTTATCACACTCATGAGGTCATGCTGATTTTTGTAAATTATTTTGCCGACTGTTCGTTCCGCATAAAGTGATGGGCCATTCGAATTGTGCAAGCTCGCTTGTGGACGCGGGCAGCTAGGCAGGGGTGAGTAAGCTGGCGGTGCGTCGCATGGTGATGTGTGAAGAGTCTCTCCATTCACACGTGACGGCTCCGTCTCCTTTTTTTTCTTTTTTTTTAAATATATATATATATATTTTTATCTATATACTTATATATATATATATATACTTATCTATATATATATATAGAAACGAATTGGACGTCACGATTACTAAATGCGAGCGAATATATCATTATGACATGATTTTATAACTGAACCACGACTGTGTTTCCAAACTAGGTAAAGTTTTACAGAGTGAGATAAGAGAGGAGGCAGGGGCGGGCGTCGTCGGGCCTTATACCCCCTCCCACCGTGTACGTTACCGTTGTGGACAACCACTTGACAACAAGCAGTTCAGAGTCAATTGATTGGATTTGGTGGATAATCCAACGTACGTACATATGTCGTGTGAACAAAGCAAAGAATAGAGATCTCTGTGAGAATAAGACGAAATACTGAATCAAGAGGAGTGAGTGGGGAGGCATAGAGGCTACTGTAGTTTCGGAACACAGCCATGGTCTCCCTACCTCCCAGGTACATGACAACATCATCACTGCTCTCTCTCTCTCTCTCTGTCTCTCTCTCTCTTTTTCTCTTTTTCTCTCTCTTTTTCTTTTTGCCCCGCTCTTTTTCTCCTTTCCCTTACGGAAAAATACTATTGGACTCGCGAAAAAACTATTGGAAATTATTGGAAAACCATTCAAATCGAGTACACCATTGTACACTATTTGTTCCAATAGTTTTCTCACTAATCCAATAGTATTTTTCCACGAGGGTTGTCTCTGTCTTTATGTACACATATCAAAAATAGAATTGTACCACTTTTGGTTATGCGTCTTCTTAAACGATTAATTCCAATCAAGTATCATATCACGATATTACTTAATCTCCCGATCTTTGGATGCATAGAGCACTAGCTGCACTTACTCCTGAATGCGTTCCTCGAATGGACTCTTGGATGCTTAAATCCTCGATCTCCCGCCTTTCTTAGACCCGTCTTTGTTCCCCGTTTATTCAACTAGGGAGGTGGTGCAATCCTTTGCTTGATAAGTGTATATATATTTCCGTTTCTTTATGTCTATCTGCCCGTAACCCTTTTGTCTTCTTCCTACGTCTTTTACTTTCCGTCTCTCATCTATCCGCGCCTTCGAATCATATGCTCATTCATTTCTGCTATTCACCTGTCACTCATCATATATCTTAGAAAAAAAAAAAAGAAACTTTCGGTCTCTCTTTCTCTCGCTCTATTCTATTACATTCTCATCTTAAGACACCCTTTCTGCTTGGCTGTGCACATCGATCGATGAGTTTGCCAATTCACCGAGTCGTTCGAATGTCGTCTCATGATCCTTCACGATACGTATTCTGTACGCATAGAGCGGGTGCGAGATATCAGCCATTTTTCATTCATTTGCACATTCATGCATCACGGCCATAGAAATAATTATACATAAAGCGATACGGTTAGGTTCGCGAGATCCTATAGACTTTTTACGGACGGGAAGAATATCGTTCTGACGTTTCAGCAAATATTGAGGCACTAATATCTACTTATGTCTATCTACACACACACGAATTCACAAACTTCCATCTAATATGTGCACAGCTGCGAAGAATATATTTGTATTCATATATATATATATACTTTGTATATTACCACTGTAGTGTCTATCACCCTTCACACTCACCACACACACCCTAGACGTGCTTTTAGTGGCGTTTGTGTTTTGTCTGCTACTGTTTTCTGCAACTTGACATATTTACTACATAAATATATATTATATATAGAGAGAGAGCCGATTGTATATTTATAAAAAAAATATTTATATATGTATGTATATATATTTTATATACATACACATATATATATATCTCGTTCACGTATTATTATATTACAACATCTACCCAACATTGGCTGCCGAGCTAACGCCGGCTCGCCGCGCTTTCGGGCTCTCGGGGGTTGAAGGTGTTCCGCCTTTTGCACCTGTCGAATCGTATTTCTTTTTCATTCTACACAACGTCGCAAAACTCCGCATCCTCATACTTCAAGTATATGCGGTACAAATAAACCATATGCACATAAAACGCGCCGCGCTAAACGGTCTCGCAGGCGGAGAGGCTCGGCAGTTAAGCGCGGAGGTAGTTGGAACTTATCTTAGGGACTTAGGCAATAGCTCTAGCCATGAACGTCTAGTATCAGTGTGCTCGACACATGTTGTCGATCCGCTCTCCCGTACGAATCAGCGAGATTCACGCGGGGATTATGTGTGTGGGGACAGTCTGCAGAAACAGGTCAGCGTTATGAGTATGAACCTGAGTGCCAAGCTGGACGAGCTGCAGCGGGGTGACCGCCAGCTGGAGACCACCGTCGCTCTCTGCGAGATCCGCACGCAGCTGCAGGAGCTCACAAAGAGCGTAGAGTCTTGTCAGAGCGAGGTCAGCGAGGTCAAACGGGACATGGTCACGATTAAGGTACATTCTGGCTGACGTGTCTACATCTATTTTTTTCTTATTTATATATATATATATATACTTATCTAAATTAATAATTTAAACTAAATATCGATATCGAGAAAGAAAAAGAATCTCATTCTAAAAGAGATTAAATTAATGATAGTTTTATTCGAAGTAAAATACATTTGTTTGTCGTTTCTTTTAAATTAAACGTTTAATTATTAATATTAACATTAATATAAAAAATGTAAACACGTTTTGCTACACGTAGATTAAAGTACGATGAAAAATTACTACAAGGTGACTTCATAATTTTTTTGGATAATATAAAATTCAGAAGAATCGTTTGATTTTATATTTAGAAGTAAGGATTATAGGAAAATATTAATATTTAAAATTGCGGAATATATATAAGAGGCGAGTAGATAAATTGTCGTAAATCAATGTGTGCACGTGATGTGCACAGAAGAGGAAAGAATAAAGTTAGATTAATAGAAAGTTCGATGTCTAAGAATATAAATTCTTCACGTTATTGAAAGAGCGTTTTACCGCTCTTTCAATAATGTAAAGATTGCATTTGGTATGTACGGAAGTACTTGAGGTGTTCTTTTTCTTGACACGCAGCAAGAACTAGATACAGTACAGCAGGTCAAGGAAGAGATAGAGGAATTACGAGAGTACGTGAATCGACTGGAAGAACACTCTCATCGGCGGAAGCTTAGGCTGTTGGAGCAGGTGACTTCCTGACGTTAAACAATGTTGCTTTTTCTTCATTTTATCTATTTTTGTTATGTTTTAAGATTGAGTTGCTATGCCGCGAATGATCGTATATGTGTGCGTGAATTTTTTAAAAATTATTTATGATTTTTTATTTCTTTAGCGATGTATGATTTTCATGATGCTGTTAATAAAAATTATGTGGAATAATTTTATACGTTTTTGTACTTTTATTTCATGTTTCATTTATGTTGCACCTCATTAGCATTTCCTTTCCTATTATTTATATCGCATATGTTGTGCTAAATGTTACGTATGTGACGCATATGTATTAATTATACCATATACGGAACGCATCCGATAAATCCGGGTATTTACAGGGACTGACGCTTTTCCTGTCGTACGCGATACTAGCTGCCGTATTGGGAATGTTGCAGTTTGGATACAACACTGGAGTGATTAACGCGCCTGAAGTGGTACGTTTCATCAACGTGAAGTCTCTATGTATACGTCTAGAGATGAAAATGATTCAATTTTACGATAATTTACTCGATAATTTACTGTAAATTAGTCAGTAATTTATGGAGACTGGTAAAATGGTAATTTAAAAAAATTATAAAAATAAAGTAATTTGATATAAGAGTAGTTAAAAAGTTTAAAAACACTTTATTTAATTTAAATTTTTATTTTGATGCTACATATTGATATAATAATTAAGAAGTACGAAAATACAGTCTATTTGTGCATAAAACTATAAAAAAACAACAAATTTTACCAAAATTACCAATAAATTACCGTAATTTTACCGTAAGTAATTGTAAAATTGAATTTGAGTAATTTTGCATCTCTATATACGTCTCAAATAATTTTATAAGCGAACACTCGTATAATGTATTCGAATTATTTACAGAACATAGAGAATTTTATGAAAGATGTATACAAGGATAGGTACGGGGAGGACATTTCGGATGATTCTGTTAAGACGTTATACTCCGTGGCCGTGAGCATATTTGCGATCGGTGGTATGGTGGGTGGTTTCAGCGGAGGGACAATTGCCAACAGATTTGGCAGGTCAGTGTCTGGTTTAGCGATATCATACTAACAGTGTTTTCGAATAGAGTGAGTTTGAACCTAATCTGGATCGGATCGATGACGTCACATGCTTTACTTTGATTTCTGATTGGACGAGATGATACTTTCGGATCAAACATGGGTTAACCAAACCGAGTCGAGTTTAAACCCACTTCACTCGAAAACGCTATAAGTTTCGCAAAAAGATCCTGTACTAATTATATAGAAAATTTTTAATTAATGTGGGTTCATTTAAATAAGAGGCCAGTGCTTTTCAAATTGTAACATATATACATAATACATAACATGCATAATTATGAAAGAAAAAAACGATACATAATATAATTATAAGTTGTACCCTTTTTCTTTCATAAAATTGAAATATTCGCATTGAACTTCCTCCTTTTTTCAATTTATCTTTCCAATCGAAATTTTTAGTAAATACATTTAAGTATAGCTTCGACATCACACACAATCTTCTTAATGATATTTCGTTACATCACGTTCTGTAAATCTTGGAAATCTCTGGAAGAATAATAATTGTCGGATAATCATAAAATGGAAAAAGACAGAAATTAATATTGGCCTTCTGCTTTGAATCGCAGAAAGGGAGGCTTACTGCTAAACAACGTGCTGGGCATCGTGGGGGCGTGCCTGATGGGTTTCACGAAACTTGCTGAGTCGTACGAGATGCTGTTTTTTGGACGGTTTATCATCGGTGTCAATTGTGGCTTGAACACCTCGTTGGTTCCCATGTACATATCGGAAATAGCGCCATTAAACCTGAGAGGTGGCCTAGGCACGGTGAACCAGCTCGCTGTTACGGTGGGCCTCCTGGTCTCCCAGGTGCTGGGCATCGAGCAAATCCTTGGAACAAACGAGGGTTGGCCCGTTCTCTTAGGACTAGCTATCTGTCCTGCCATTCTACAGCTACTGCTGCTTCCAGTATGCCCGGAATCTCCAAGGTGTGTGTCGAAAAAATAATGTAAAATTATTTATAATTAAAAGAAATCTTGTTTCTCCGATATTTTTAAGTATATTCTTCAAAGAGCCTGAATGAAGGATTGTACGACAATAAAATACCGTCTATGATTTTTTACGTTCTTATTAATTGATACACAAACGATGCCGCAGTCTATTAATGGAAAAAAAATTATTTCAGATATTTGCTCATTACTAAACAGTGGGAGGAAGAGGCTCGAAAAGCTTTGAGAAGGTTGAGAGCCAGTAACCAAGTAGAAGAAGACATTGAGGAGATGAGAGCGGAGGAACGAGCTCAACAAGCTGAGTCCACGATATCGATGACAGAGCTTATATGCAGTCCAACTTTAAGAGCACCTCTCGTTATTGGTGTGGTTATGCAACTTTCGCAGCAGCTTTCGGGTATCAATGCCGTAAGTAACTATTTTATTCGATTGTTCCCGTTTTTGTTACTGGGTCGATCTGGATTAATTAATTGGAGCGATCTGACGTAAAATTATTGCGTGTTCCAGGTATTTTATTATTCCACGAATCTGTTCACTAGTTCTGGTTTAACGGACGAGAGTGCCAAGTTTGCAACCATTGGCATAGGTGCCATCATGGTTTGTATGACGCTAGTGTCTATCCCACTCATGGATAGGACAGGAAGGCGTACGTTGCACTTGTATGGTCTTGGTGGCATGTTTATCTTTTCAATATTCATCACAATTTCGTTTCTCATAAAGGTGAGTTGGAATTTTATCGCGCTTTTATGACACTCGTTTATCATTCTTGTTATTATTTTAATGATAGATTACAACAGGCAATTTTGTCGAGTTTTCTTATTGCTTGCGTACTCGACAATTAACAGCGTTGGTTTAAAAATAGATACTAAAATTCAATAATATGGATATTGGAATTTTTTCATGAATATTTATTATACGATCTTTCATTGATAAATTATGGCTAATTGTATATATCAAGAATTTCTCACAGCAATCTAAAAAATTTTAAAATCGTATGCTTATTTTTTTGGCGTCGAATTCTTTGATTAGGCTTTTCAAATTAATAACTGAAGAGAGAAGAAACAAGATTTTTTATAACTTAAATTTTGATAATAAAATAATATATATGTCGTTATATATTAAATAATTACATATAATAATTTATCTTGTTTGGAAAAATATGATAGAAGATGGAGATTCGATTGACAATGGCGGATTTATTTATTAATACTTTTCCGTACTGTTAAGAACTGTGCTTTACTCAGGAAAATCGTATCACAAGATCGTGAATTGTAGCTACGTATCTGTGCTTTGGCACTTTATGCACCTTGGCGAAAGGTGTACTTAACACTTTGTTCACAGCTGGAGTGCGGCACTGCACCGACAGTGAGAATCACCATTATATCTATACGAATTTGCATCAAAGAATCGACTCATTTTAATTTCTTCCCGCCATTCACATGTAGCCAATAAGTCACGTCCTTTGCCCGCATGCCGTTTTATTCATTTGCGATGTAGAAATTTTTATATCTCGATACATGGACACGTACGTGCTTTATGTGTATCAATTTTTTGACGAAATAATTTTTAAATACGAAACGAAATAATTCTTAATACAGATATTTTAAATAGATATTTTTAGCAATTGTTTTTATTATTATAATATTGAATGATTCCGCAAATGAAATAAAATCAAAGTCAATAAACAAAGATAAGAGATAAAGTTAGTAAAGAAATGAAAATATCTAATTTATTATAAATACTATTATTGTTTTGAATAAATTTGATATCATTTCTTTACTAAATTTATCCGTTATGTTCGTTTATAGGTCTTAGTTTTATTTCGTTTGCTTAAGTACGAGCCTTATTTTGTTGAATAATTTTATTAACTAAACGCGTAATTAAGTAATCGATAGAGGCGCGAGAAAAAATGCAGACGTCAAGTGTAGCATGTATCGTATATCGCACGCCGTTTCGTTACTCTGGCTTATTAGTAGTTCTGCTTTTTGATGAAACCCGCTTCCCTCCTCCCCTTCACTACTGACGACCTCTTTCGTGACTGTCTGGAGGAGATTTACTTCCCGTTTATTAATCAGCCTATGTTCTCTACTTGGCTCAAACCTGTCACTCTCTATATATCACATTACATCAACAATTAACATGTTATTCGCGAAGTCCCTAATATCAATTATTATCCTTTGTGTACAAAATTAACGGTTCTTTAGCTGCTAAATGTCTAGCACCGACGCTTTCACGTTACGGGGTTCAAGAAAGAATAATTCGCTTTTCAGTAGCAACTACTTGTACCACTAATTGCAAGAACCGTCTTGTAAATTCGCATCTCACGTTCCTATTATTTTGAGGATATTATAAGGATACTATGAACTATAATTTTTAATATATTATGAGAATATTATAAGTTCTACGCTGAAAAAAAGTTTGCTAAATTTTAATAAATATTTGTTTCAATAGTACTAACGAAATATTTACTAAATGTAAACATATATTTATTTTATTTAAGCATAATTTTTTATTTTGAATAAATACTTATTTACTGTAAGTAAATATTTTGTTAGTACTATTGAAACAAATATTTATTAAAATTCAACAAATTTTTTTTTTAATGTATAATATTCTTATGAGAATATTATGAGGACACGGTTCGGTTTTCTCGTACGTAAAATTGTAGAAAAGATATACAGCTGTTTCAATAATACAGTTTTTTTTTTCTGAAAAATTTAAGACATCTCAATTCGAGACCGTCTGCACATAGATGTTTCGCGCGTACGACTGATCACATTACCATTCTAATTGAGGTCAAAGCAAATCCTGGCACTCATCATGGAAAGCAGCGTACCGTGCTTCACCGCTTAACGAGAAATTGTACTGTACATAACAAGGCACTCTTGTCGTTATACAAAATACTTTGCCGCAATCACTTTGTCAATGCCAATGCCTTTCATTACACAGGGTTGAGCTGCGCACCGCATGCGGCATTACAAATTATTACGCATACGTTCGACATGTGTTATCCGAAAGTTTTACGATTGAGTTCCTGGCCTGCCGTACTTTTTTATTTTTATTTTTTCCTGAGGCTCCTCCAGCTGCTCAGGAAAGAAGAACACAATTCTACTGCCTGATAGGAGTTCTTTGGCTATGTGCAGGAAATGATCGACTGGATGTCCTACATCTCGGTAGCATCGACCTTGTGCTTCGTCGTATTCTTCGCCGTGGGGCCCGGATCTATACCCTGGATGATCACGGCGGAATTGTTCTCGCAAGGCCCTAGACCCGCCGCCATGTCCATCGCGGTTCTCGTCAATTGGATGGCTAATTTTTTGGTTGGCATCGGTTTTCCAAGCATGAAGGTAAGACGACAACAAAAAAAAAATCGATTCTTTTTAACCAAACTTCCTCTATTCGTGAGGTAACTAACTGAACGAAAACTATACGAATCATTGTGTTGAATAATTGGAAATAATTAAACTCGACGGAAGAAAACACCTAACGGATAATATAATTATAATTGTTGCATTAATGTTGTTATTAATTAATATGATGGAATGTAACAATTATATAATCCTATTATATGTATAGATTCGATTTAGTATAAACGTGCGTATGTTTGCGTGTTACAGAGTAGCCTTGAAAACTACACGTTCCTACCGTTCAGTGCATTTCTAGCCATCTTCTGGATCTTCACCTACAAGAAGGTTCCTGAGACCAAGAATAAAACATTCGAAGAGATTCTAGCTTTATTCAGGCATGGTAACGACAGGTATGCAGCACATAAGCAAATTATTACCTTCCCCAGTACGTACCATAATAGCAAAATGTTATATACATAGTTGGATATATATTCTGCATCCGCCTTTCTTTAATTTCTTTCAAAAGGAGGTCTCTGGTATACCTATATATACATGTATATACGTATGTATAGCTTAAATCCGCGATAGCTCCCCCTTGCCCTCAATCTGTATCCCATTTATTTTTGACTCGACTCATATTGGGTACGTTTTAAAGTTAAGTAAGACAAAATCGAAATTTACAATTTTCGAACTAATAACCGCACAATTTATCAACCGTTAATTGCACGAGGAAAGGAGAATTAAAGAGATTGAGATAAACTTATTCTATGTACTGTACTTGAATGTACAATGTACTGTTATTACGTTCGTCCGAACGTTCATCCGTCCGTCTATATATTCGATAACGAATACGTTTGTTATTTATAATAGGAACTTCTTGGAAGGAATTTTATAATTTATTAATACGATCTCGTAATATTCTCTCTCTATTGTATTATAACTCTACTCCCGGGATAGTATATTACGCTACGCATTTTTGCATGCATCGCTGCTTGTTCGAAGCAATAACAGAAGTTGAACTGTGATAAAGTTTCGTTCTTTTTAGGGGGAGGAAATTAAGTTTCACTTATATACGGGAACATTATTTGTACATATTTATAAGTACAAGCTAAAGTAGTTTGTAAATTTCGCCTTAAAGTTTCGTCACTTGCTTGGTTACCCTTTATTGCAAATCCCGATATTTCGAACTTCTTTTCGTTAAACTGTTGCAAGGAAAAGTACATTTTTACATATACTTGCGAGTAAAACGCAACACTAATCGAATAGCAAGTAGAAGTGATAACGTGCACGACATTGCGAATCATGTAACGAGATTATTGTACGAGAAAAGTGTAAAAAAATGAAGCAAGTAACCGTAGGTTATTAGTTTCTGAAAAGTGTAAACACCACAGAACGTAATTTTATCATCTCATTTGCGGAACATTGCGAACGACGTACAAATCAGCTATCTCGCTATTGATCCTCTTATCAGTTCAAATAATATTCTGTTAGATTTCCGGGAGAGGATCGTGAAAACGTGTCAGCTCTGTATTACACATAGGAAAGAATCATCGGTCATGTAAAATGCCGATTTATTTGATTTCTTAATGGCATTGCGATCCCTTTCGAGTTATGTATACGTTATTGATTCGAGTCGCGAGTTGGTGATTTTGCTGTCTTATTGTTATATTTTCAAGGCCAAATGGATACATTCTGTTTGTTTAACGTATTGTACATGTATCATTTCAATAAATCGATTATTTCATGGTTCTCTGGATAACTGGATAATTTTCGTTGATTTCCGTATTTCGTTACTACGACGACTACAATTGTGTTCGATATATCGTAACTGTGCTTTCTGTGTTATTCGGAGCAGGAGCAGCTTGCGGGACAGCAGACTTTATGGGTGAGTCCTGCTACTACACATTTCCTGTTACTGTGGTGGCTTTGTTACGAGATATATTATACCGAACATACCGATTACTACTTAACTGCATGAAGATAAATGATCAAAGACACCACTAGTTACATCGAAAAGAGGGATTATTTTTTATGCGTTGAACAAAACACCCGTAATCCTTCAATGAACAAGTAAAATGCCTTTCTCTGCAAAAAGCTAGTTTAAAACCGTCTCTCACGGGATATTGGAAAGCATTAAAAAATACAGAAGAGAGGCAGAAGAAAAATCAAAATATTTTCTCCTATTTCTTCTTTCGCTTATTGTCGTTTTCGACACAATCGTCGAGATACGATTACGAACGACTGTGCTGAATTGTTTAAAAAATAATCCTGACCCGGCCACGCGATTATCATAACTTTAATCCAAAAGGCCTGGCATGTCGAAACATCTTTACTATCAGCTAATGCGAGTCTCCGTCTTATTGCGTAATCAGTCAGGCTGACTAAAGAGAATCAGATATACATACATATAGCTGCATGAACATAAGTTGTTACCATATAAATTATTCATTTTTCTTTTGTGGAGATACATTTCACAGTTTCTAAAAGTTCGTCAGGGCTATTATGTAATCGATATAATGCGCATACGTTTGTATCCGCGGCTAACCCCGATGATATCCGCATAATTCCACACTTTGTCACTGCCGTTCAAGGACCTTTATTTTTTTTTATCTCAGAATAAATTGCCATGTTTTCAATCTCTTCGATCGTATCCGCGCTTCTGCATACTTCATGCTCGTATATTTAGAAAACACGGGGAAACTTTTGCCTCCGCGAACGCCCGTGGTTGAAATCACATACATAACAGCCCCGATCACTTGACTTCCTCCTGGAGCCTTGTATTCTACAGCATGCTCCTTTTAGCGTACATACAATGCCCAGTTAAATGTTTCGGCGACAGGCAGAGTCTTGGAACAGTTTTTATGTCGATAGTTGGCACGAGTTTATGGCGCTGTACTGTGCGACTGCATGTTAGTGCTTACGTTACTTGTTTGGCGTACCAAAGTGATTCCTAAGTTGTGTTAAGAGATACGATGCCACAAACGTGTTTGTGATCGGCGAGTAGAACGCTTCTGTAAACTTAATGACCCGCTTTCGGAATTTCGATGCAGCTCGTAGAGCTGTGACTCTTCCTCAAAGAGATCTGGCAATTGAAAAATGAGAACGTTCGAAATATAGTGTACTACCTTCATATTTTTACTGTACAAAAATAGTCGTAATTTTTTTTACTTCAATTAAAATCAATTTAAATGTCAATACTTTTCAATAAAATTCTTGAAAAGATATTTAGGATTTTATAAAAATGCTAATTTGACGCAGATATAGGCTGTTCGAATCAAAAACTCCAGGGATCTTTGAGGAAGAACCAGAGCACCATCAATTATGTCGAAATCTTGAATGGAGAGTTAATTTTACAGAGCGAATGCGGTACAGACCGCCGCTTTGCATCGTTTTATATTCGTCGTGTTAACATCGTAAGCGATAATTTATACGCGATCTGGGTTTAATTAATTTCTGCGGTGAGAGAATCAAGTTTTCCTTTATTTAATCAGTGCAGCTCTCGATAAACTCGTATACAAGACATATTTTTTTTCTTCCTTTCCGATTTCTCTCCTTTTACTTTTATTTTGATCAAGGTTTTGCCGAAACATTCATCAACGATTTAAATAGAAATCTTACCTGTCAAGGTAGCTAAGTCTGTCAAGATAGCTGGTTACGCTGCTTATGATTTAGCGGAAGTTTCTTCGATCTGTTTTTTTCGAGATGAGCTAATTAAAACGCGTCAACGTAATGTTTCTAGTTGAATGGTAACTAATATTGGATTGAAGGTAATGTGTATTTGTGAGCTTTTTTTCTCGCGTTTAAACACGTTTGTATTTACACTGAGAGAAATATTTGATTCGAGTAACTATTATATTTACTTTGTTGAATGTGATTTATAAAAACTTTCTTACTTTTTAATTTAAAAATTTTGTTGTTCTAATCAAAATTTGATTAGAACCCGAGAAAAAAATGTTATATGTATGGACATATTTTATATAATTATACAGGGTGTTTGGAAAGTAATGAAAAATCTTTCGCTCGAAAGTAATAAAAAATTATTGAAGACCAATTTATATTATATATATTTATATATAAAACATATTTTCCCAAGAATAGCTAAATTTTTATTAGAACAACAGAATTTTTTAATTAAAAGGTAAGAAAGTTTTCGGAAGTTACATACCAATAAAGTAAATGACTGTTCACATCAAACATTTCTCGCAGTGTATCGCGGGAAAAAGCTTTCGGAAGCGGAGACACGGTGTTGGAAAATTTAAGATATAAATATTAAGTGTGGTATGAATTTACTCACTCGCCTGTAAATTTGTTTGCTTAATAAGTAACAAACTAACAATATGATCGCTCTGCAGCTTGTAACAATGTTGAAGCAAATGTTTATGCTGAGTTGTATATCTACGATCTCTGACTCTAACTTTTGTGTTAGCGCGCCACTCGATTTTCTTTTTATTTCTACAATTTCATCTCTAGACAAGGAAGGGAGATGTAGTTAACCGCAGTTAGCGCAATTTGATATCGGTACAATTGATCTGTATAGAACAATCGCGATAAAGGAAAAATTTCGGGACGGTATAAATGTTCGAGAAATCATTTAGTCTGCGAAAAATCATTATATATATTTTTATGTAACGGTTCACTGATATTTAAATTTACATTAAATTTAAAAAAGTAGCTTATTTATAACGCTATGCTCTCGATTAAGATCTTTGTCGTAGATATAGATTACACACCATTTATCTTGCGTGTCCTTTTATCGTCGCAATTACTGATTCTGATCTGCTATTCTATCGGATAGTACAATACGTTTTAGAGATATCGATGAGTAGAGAGTTCGATTATGATAGTTCGAGATATGACGAAGATACAATAGGTAAAAGAGTTTTCTTTTTACTCGTGTAGAGGATGCATCTAATACACGTCTTAGCGAATAAATTTGCGAAACACGTGCAGATTCGCGCGAAAATAAATAGGATTTCTCTGACAAAACTGAAACGATTCGAGGCTCGATTGCCATGTAACGTTGTTGTCTTACAGGGAAGAGGAGCTCGCCACTAACTCTAGCAAGGAGACCGTCCTATCTGACGCCACCACTGCCAACCATACCCACGCTACCGATAAACTATAAATCTAAACGCTCTAATCAGCAATCGAATTGGCCGTTGATTCGAAAAATAAAAACTATATCGTAGACCGGCGGCTCAGCCGCAAGACTGTTATTGATTTAATATACATTGTTATATATCGGATGACACGAGAACTGTAGTACTCACTATAATGTGAAACTGTTAATCGATACGCACTGTGTAATTCACGTTATAAAACTTCGAGACTGCTCGTTAGTATTATATTAACGAATATTTCGGCATCACCGAATTAAGATCGTAAAATTTATGGTTTTATGCTGTAAAATAAATCTGTTTCTTTATTTAATTATCCGGATTGAGTTTCCTCCTTCCATTCGTGTTACGCCTTACGCGCGACGTATCGGGATCGACTTTGATTTCTCGAGTAGAAATTCGCAAAGCGAAGTCGAAGTCGATGTGCGACGAGACTCCACGAGAAAAATCGTATCTTCTACATGGAAAGATGTGTAAATATGTATGTTTCGCTTGTCGAAATTACGGATGGACTCCCTTTGATCCTTTTGGTAGGAGATTGTTCCTGATGAATTTCCGCCAAGTGTTACTTGCCACACAGGCTGCCGAATATATTGTTTGATTCTTAGTAAGTATATACGTAAATTTCTACTACACAGGCCAGTGAAACGCTGTATAATAGTACAAGATTAGAAACTGTGAAATGAATCGTTACGTATTACATATGCATTATCGAGTGTAACCGCGTGAGTAACTCGATTCAAGATCCGTGAATCCTTAATGGATCCACGGATCTTCGAATTCATGCCTCCGTTCACAGAAAGAACGATTTTGCTGAAAGATCTAAAATTGTATTGGTTACAGATTTGAAAATAATTTTGATGAACCACCAAAATAAATTTTATCGAACCATCAAAATAATTTTGTTAGAAACTCAAACTGGTTGCTGGAATATCAAAATCTTTTGCAGCATACTCATAATTTTTTCCAACATAATTATTTTGGTGCTCCAACAAAATTATTTTCATATATATATCCAGTAAAATTTTAGATCTTTCAGGAAAATCGTTCTTTCCGAGTGGATTTACGATATAATCGCTATCATAGCGGTCATAGCGGAGAGAAAAAGCGAATTTAGCTTACTCTACGTGACTGGAACGTCGAACAATTTAGGATCGACTCTAAATAAACGCCTAAAGTATCATCTGGAGCTGGGAGCGCCGAAGAGTGCAGAGCGATATCGTTTCTCTTGCATTTATTATCCCAGCGTGTAACGATCTCAGATTGCGCGATCTACATAAAGACGAATCTACATTTTCCCATCGTAAATCTCGCATCTCTTAAGTTTCTCTTTGCATTTATGTAGCTATTTTATCTTTCTTACTTTTGATCATCAATCATTGCTCAAAATGTCATGTATCATCATATTTAATTCAACTGATCATTGATTGCAGTATATAATAACATTTTGTAAATTCATGGTGAAATCGTGAATAACGGTGTAGCTGGCTCCACGAGATTTGGTGATTCGTTGGATCCGAATGAAAGCGATTAAATTAAGAACGCGGACGATAAGATTAAGCCGCAAGTTCATCGTGTATTTTATACGTTGCGACACGGTGCATATCAATCGGTGCTCCAAAAAAGAATTTTGTATAATGAGGAGAGGAAAGAAAAAAAAAATTGTAAGAATCAACAGAAATGTGATTTAAAGAAGTGGAAATCTGGACAAGTCGCGTGATGTTTTACAGGAGCATGCTAAACTGTGTGAATGCATTAGAGGGACACATACCACCAGCAGAGAGCGCAGCCCTGATGGTGGCAGAGGAGAAGCCACATCCTGATTCATGTAAGGCTTTAAAGAAAAAACCTGACCAGCATCAATCACGATACATTGTAACACGATAATTTGTAATCCCTGTCATCTCTGTCCAAAGACAAACAATTCTCTAAACGCGGATACGAAATCGCGATCGAGACTGTCTGCGTTTAACAGAGAAAACTGATCAGTATGCGCTCAATAATTCGTTAATAGGATTGTTTCTTGTTATTTAATTTTTCGCTAAATCTAAATGTACGAACCAATAGTATTAAAGAATCACTGAACACTCAGTAATCAGTTTTCTCTGCTGAAAGTAGCCACTGTCATTTTCTCTCTGACCGTTGCGATGATTGGGGGTGATCAGGTGCTCTCAATTCAGTAAGCGAGCACGATTCCTCGTAACTTTGTCCCGTCGATACATGGATCATCTCTTTTTCATCGATGAGAGAGATATTCTATGCGAATGCATTCATCGAATGGGGAATTGGCGTACACTCGCTGATCGATCTCTGTGAAATCTAACTCGAAATCAAACTTTTCAGAGTAGCTTTTTTCATCGCATTAGATTTTTACATTTTTGCCCCCTTACTTTAAAAGTGACACAAATAAAAAATTAAGTTTCCCAGAAAAGGGAAGAATTGTTTTTCAATTTGTCAGAAAATTATTGATTAATCAAATAATATTGGCGAAAAGTACATATTCTTAATCAAATGTTAGTTGTGACGATTTTTTTAAAATCATTTTTTCTAAGTTGTGATGATTTTTTTTTTCAAAAATCACCCTTTTTTTAGTTGTGACAATTTTTTTTAAATTTGCACTTTTTTTAATTGTAACGATTTTATTAAAAATCATTCTTTTTTAGTGTTGTGACGATTTTAATTTTTTATGAAGTTAAATTAGATCATTTTTACGATTGAGGGTAATATTTACTTAACTCATTCACGATAATAACTCGAAAATCACGATTTTTTGATTGTCACTTTTCAAGTAAGAAAGTGTTTTTCATAATTCATATTATTTATTTCTTGTATACACTACACATTATGTTTATCTTTTAATCATTTCGTTTCACGCCTGATCACCTCATCAATCATGCATTAAGTCTCCGCTACGTCTTTCCGTGCGTGTTAAAGCACTAAAAAATTGAACGTTATGTCACGAAAATTTAAAAAGAGGTAACGTGTGAATCGATGCGATCATCATGTATATAGGAATTGTTTGCCACGTGTCATCATCTTGCATGCCATAATGCCGTATATGTATGTTCGTAAGTTTTCCTGATTTGTAGTCTCATTGTGGAACATCTGTTTTGAATTTATTTGCGAACGTTTCTTTTCTGCTTTCAGTATAATTCAGAAAGTGCAGAGGCGTCAAAGTGCTGGTTATACGACAGTCAAACTATACATTGTGCCGCTTCACGCTACAAGACACACGCGAGCGGTCATAGCGGGAACACTGTTTAAATTTTATTCACTTTTTCGCGTTGACAACAGCTAATCAAGAAAGAAAATATAACGAAGTAAATCGACATTAGTTTAACGTGTGCTACACCGAGAGATCAGAAACCTTTAATCTGCTATAACATCATTCACCCATTAGAACAATTGCACAAACACATAGAAAAAACGGTTTTACTGAAGTATCTAAAAATTTAGTTAGATGCAAAGAAAATAATTTTATAGGATTATCAAAATAATTATGTAGGAAGCTCAAACTGGTTGTTAAACTAAAAAAAAAATTTAGTAGTGTTTAATATAGATTTTTTCAACAGTAAATCTTCAATAATATTAAGTTTTAGTAAAAGTTTACTTAATCTTAATACATATTTTTTTCAATAGTACTAATTTGTAGCATTTATTTACAGTAAATAAATGTTTATTATCATAGTAAATATTATCAAATAAATATATTTAGTAAATATTTATCTAATACTATTCAAACAAATATTTATTAAAATTTAGTGTATTTTAAATCAATTGAGGAAAAATATTACTATTAAAATGATTATTGTTTAGTACATTTTTCTCTCATTGTAGAAAATTGAAACTTTTGCAGCATTGCTCATTATGCTTAAATTTTCTACGTAATTTTGATGGTCTGACAAAATTATTTTCAGATTTGTATCTGTCTAAATTGAAATATCTCTAAATTTTAAATATTTCAGCAAAATCATTCATTTCGTGCAGATGTTTATTTCTTTCAAAATGTCATCAGCTGCTTGCGAGAAAAATTAAACTTCAAAAAATCTAGACCAAATCTGTTTCTGTCGATCCTCGACATTCGAAATCTTTCTCTCGCTCGCATTCATGAATTTCCATCTTTACTTTGTATAATAATTTACGTTGGACACATTGATCTAGTATCTACATATTCTACCTTAGCTTACGTTTTGTTACACTGCTTGGGTTAGACACTCTCGTGACATGGACTCGCTGGAGTTTCAGTTTCGAAGAGCTTATTTTTTTGACAGTATATTCACGCACATCATAGAAAAGTAGGCACAGAAACAAACTGTACAGCAAACTTATGTTACACATGAATCGAACGATCGAATATCTCAGAACACACTGCCTTTTATCGCTAACGAATTCTTAGCGATATCTTTCTCGCGATAGTTTGTAATTATAAACGTTGTGTGTGTGTGTGTGTGTGTGTGTGTAGTGTTTCAGAATAATAAGCTCTCTTTCTCTCTCTCTTTACATATATATCTCTCTCTCACATACACACACACGCACACACACATCTATTTATCGTCGTTTCTGTGCAACACGACAGTTTTCCATCCTGTATCGTATCTACACTTTGGACTTAATTAACGCTACGTAATTACACGAAACGAGAAAGTGGTAGACACTCACGTACTGCTTCGTTTCTATGAATATTATATTATCGTATATTATGCGCTATCGACACTGGCCTTTGTAGTAGTTTAAAGGAAGGCAGGCCAATGTGAATATATGTATATTTCTCACTGACACATATTATACTGATGTGTAGCATCTGTGAATCCCGGAGCGAGGATTCGTTTCGTTATGTGTAATAACTTCTTAGGCCAATGTACATACATATATTTGGCGTTGTTGTTAATTTTAATACGGTGCTGTACAATCAATTTTCGCAGCATGAATGGTGTAAGGGGCATGCGCGCATGAATGTAATCTCTAGTGCGTAGGAACAAAAGGTAATTTCATCTCCCGTGACAATTTCGGACGTTTGGCTTTGAAAACCTCAAGTCACTTAAGTCGAATCGCGCGTTAATTAACAATTATAATTAAGCTAGTCCGAGGGACACGAATTCTTATTAATGTAATGAGTATTTTCTCAAATTAATTAACACTATTCTTAGATCGCGTGGATTTCTAAGCACGTAATAGACAGCGATAATATTATTTTATGTACGGAAAGAATGGTTTTTCTGAAATATTTAAAAATTTGTATTTAGATACAGATCTGAAAATAATTTTGTTGGACTATTAAAATAATTATGTAGGACACTCAAATTAATTATTAGAATGTCAAGACGTTTTGCAGTTTTGCTCATTATGCTTGAGTTTTCTGCATAATTATTTTGGTCCTACAAAATTATTTTCAGATCTATATTTACTGAATATTTAGAAACTTTAGCAAAATCGTTTTTCTGTGTGACAATCTTATCATTTTTTTTTTCATCACTTGAGAACTTCATTAAAGAATGTTGAGTCAATGATCAAAAATATTTTATAAGTAATACTTATAAAACGCTATTTATCTCGTAAATATTGATCGTATTTCGGAAAGAGACAAAATAATTTTTAACGCTACTAACCTTCTTTTTGGCCAGTTTTTAAATGCGCTTATAAATTGCATGGGATTAGCTCTGAGACTAAGAGCTAAGTAGCGGCTATAAAGAAGGAGCTCTTTACATAAGATCGCGTTGTTTTCGAGAATAACTACTAAAACACGAAGGTGAAATAAATTTCTTTGCTGACGACCCACCCGCATTTTTCGAGGGAATAAAGAAAGATTCTTGTATCGCAATCTGTCACGGTGAAAATTAATTTGACCGAGGAAAGATCGAGCGCAGCCGCCGCGCCGAGAGCAGTAGAAGCTTGCTTGCTCGTCTCCTATGAGATACATACACATATCTATTACACTTTTTAGCGATGTTTCCGGAAAAGTAGTTGGCGCCGATAAACGTATATGTATATCTACGCGACGCGGCAGTTCGCGCGCGTCGAGATGAGGAAGTCGCGTATCGTGAGACTAACG